GTCACCTACAAGTCTTGAGTTCAAGATGTTTCAAGAAAGGTGCCTTTATACAACTAAAGATGGCACAGACAACCTTTATTCCTTATGTGAACATAGGTAGATTTTATATCTGGTCTCAAAAGGGTCTCATATTTACCTAGTGACGATCTTCATAAAGACAGTATAGGGGCATTGTAAGGAATAATTAAAGGTATGTATACCCACCATTACCAAGTAGGCACGTATCTGAACCCTGACTAATGGTAATAGGGTAGATCATTAGTTCCCCACCTAACTTAAAAGTTTGTGTGTGCTTTTCAAAAATTAAAGCATGTGATGAATGAGATAATTTTATACAATGCATGAACAAATATGTACAAAAATTAAAGCGTGGAAGCAATACTAAAGGAAATGCATATTAAAAACACACAAACCAATAAATAAAACACAATGATCAAATAGAAACAATGCTTAGTCCACAAGGTCCCTAGTGGAGTCATCATTTTGTTGTATGTGTATGGCGTTGCGGTGATCGTCCACTCTAAAAAAAATAATTCAATAGATAGATGTATAGTCTATTCTCAAAAAATATAGAGGGACAAGGAATTCTTGTATCATATCAGTAACATATGAACTGAGAGTTGCCACCTAGTATTCTAGTCACTAGGAATCCTAACTCATCTCAAAGATCAGGTACAGAGACTGGTTATGTAAAAAGAAGGTATTAGCACCTTAACTACGCCCTACCTAAGATAGGCTGCATTGTTTTAATGTCTGATAAAATCTAAGGTCGTATTGTGCTTTTTAATTGTCAGTTTGTCTAATGTTCAAGAAAAACCCTCCTCAATAAGGAGGTTCTTATCTTAATGAAGAAGAACCTAACCGTTCTAAAGTTTGAAATAAAAGAATTTAATATTTGGAATATGTATTACATATAAATTCATAATCCCTGATAATAAAACAAAACAAAATATTTTTTTTTATTTTTGAAATTTTGGCTAATGTTCTCTTGACTTTAATAAACTGGTTATTAAAGCCAAAATACATGCTAAAACATTATTTTTTGATGTATAAAAAAACAAAATATGATTTTTTAGCTTTAAGGTACCTGGACGTATGCACAAAAATATTTTTTTTAATTTTTTTGTATTTTTAAAAGTTGATGAAAACCAGGTATTTTAATACTGGATTGTATTTTTAGGACGTAAAATACTGCCCGATATTAATTAAAACGACATAAAAACTATGCGAGAAAATTATAAAATTCTGAAACAAATATTTTTGAATTTTTTTTGAATGGGCTAGGTCAAGCCCAAATACATGGGCTGGGCCAAACCTGGCCCAAGTACAGGGGTTAGGCTCAGCCTAGCCCATGTAAACAGTGGGCCTCTCCACTATTCACATGCAATATGAATAGTGAAGAGGAAAATGCAAAAGAAGAAGACGAAGGTGGAGGAGGAGAGGGAAAAAGGCTAACCTGTGATGGTGTTGAGGTGGTGCTGATGGAGGCGGTGGCGCTGTTGTCACGGTGGAGGGACTGCGATGGTTGACAGTGCTCTGTTTTTTCTGTGGTGGGCTATGCTTTGTTTTTTCTCATATCTCTCTTCTCTATTTTTCGCTCTTTTCTGCTTCGTCTTTATTCTTCTATCGTCTCTCTTTCTTCTCTTTTTTGTTCTCTCCTTTCTCTCTCCTTTTCTATTCTGTGTATTTTTTTTTCCTCCTCTTGTTCTGCCCCTTGTTTTTATAGGCAAAAACAAGGGAGGGATATGACTGGGGCGGCCACTGTGCTACCACCCCTCCAACATGTGAAAAGTGATCAGCGTCTTTTTGGAAGGATTGATTACTGTGATAGAGGAAGGGAAAAACAAAAGCTTCTTCTTCCCTACTCCATGCATTCAAGGGAAGAAGAAAACATACAATGCCTTTAAAACGACACCATTTCGGGCTTTTTTTTTCTGAAAAAAATATAAAAAACGACACTAATTTGGTCAAAACACGTGATTTTATGTAAAAGGAAAAGGTAGCAAAATGTGTTAAAGTTTATAGTGGTCCTCAATTTGTAATTTGTTCAATCAAGTCCTTAATTGTAATTTTGATTTAAAAATCAATGTAATTGCACCTCTGCCAAAAATCCAATAGCGGGTCTGAAGCTGGCCACCTTTTTTACTTTGGTCTTTGGTCTTGAATTTATGCAATTTGACTCTTAATTGAGCAATAAATTTCTAATTTCTTCAATTTGGCCCCTGATTTGGTGCAATTGCAGCCCCTTTAGTTACGCACATTTTTCAGTTTGGTCCTTAGTTTTAGATTTCTTCAATTAAGTCCCTAATTGACTATCAAACTTCAATATTTATGCAATTAAGTCCCTGATTTGACCAGATTAACTCTAAAAAATTATAATTTCACCCAGAATTTTAATTTATTCTAATTAAAACCTAACTTGACTAAATCAATTTTTCTTGCAATCAAACCCCCTATAAATTTAATTAAACCTTCAGTAAAATCTAATTGAGTCTATAAACATTTGATTTTGGACTTTTCTTACTCAAATTGAATTTTTTTTGTCAACAAGGCTCTCCTTGGTCAATAAAATATTGTCAAATTTTAATATTTGTATTTTTTTAACCTCCTCAACCAATTTTTAACCATTTTTAGGGTGCTCTGGCATTCTTTTTTCATTGTTATATTTTTTGATAATGTTTTTTGATATTTTTTTATTTTTTATTTTCTCGCAGGGATCCAAAAATAAGTTATGACAATAATATAGGATGACTTGCTTGAAATGGTGAAGATTTGTTAAGAAACTTTATACTAGTGTTCTTTCATTTGATGTTCGTGTTCAATGGGAATTTTGAAGGATGATAGATATTATTTGTGAATGGTTGTGTTCATTGAAAATGATGAGGCAAGATGGATTGAATTTGTTATAAACATCGAGTTAAAAATGTTTTTGTAAATATAAAGCCATCTCTAATAGCTATTTTTTTTTATAAAAAAATAGCAATAGTTATGTAATGGTGATTTTGTTATTTTTAAACAACATGAACACTTTAGTCATTAAATTGAGAATAATGACAAACTTGCAAATATTGTGACATTTTTTGTTGAATTTTTTTTACACCAAAGCTACAGTATGTAAAGTGTTATGAGGTTATTCAAATAAAAGAAATAAAAGTAAAGTGTAGTTTTTCATATCATAAAGATATGGGTGGAAGGAAAAAGGGCAAGCAAGGGTCGAGGCATATATATATATATATTAGGTAATTATGTGTGGAGGAGGTTTTTTATGGTAATTAAGTGAGATTTTTCAATTTGATTTTCTTTGACTTATTTTGCGTAGCCCTAATACAAATCCTGTAAATATAAAATCATTACTTTGTATAATAAATTCTATAGTCGGTTAAAAATAAAAATAAAAATTATAAGTAAAATTTTTTAATGAAAATATTAAAGCAAAGCCACCAATTAATTTATTTTTCATCAAAGGTAACTTAAATTTAAAATCTATTTTGGTTTTGTTTTGAGATGTTTGTTAATAATTTGATGAGGTATTTTTTTTTTAATAATTCTACCATTTTGGCTTTATTTTTTTCTCAGATCTGCTAGTTTTACCAATTGTTTTTTGAATTCTTGTTATAGTGTTTTTTTTTTAATTAATTAGATATATTTTATTGATTTTTTTTATTACACTTGGATTTTTTTAATGTTTTGTTTTTAACAGAGCCATCAAACTTATCAATTTTTTCTCACGATATATGTTTTGATTTTAGGTTGAACCATGAACAAAATTAGAAGAATTTGACTTTTTTTTAAAAATAAAAATATTGATAACTCACAACCTAGTGAACCAACTCCAATGCGCTTTAGTTTACAAAGAACCCGCGTTGATTAGTGAGAATCATTCTTTATTATTTTTTGCTTTATTTCAAAGTGTGTCGAACATAAATAATGCTTCAATTTATTATTTTTTGCTTTATTTCAAAGTTTGTCGAACATAAATAATGCTTCACTTTAGCTAATGTTTTTTATATACTTTATATGTTTATATTTGATAGATATAAAGATCAACAACATTAAAGTGATGAATATATTATGAAGATGAAATTAACTTCATTGTTTCGACTTATTTTGGTATTGTTTCAAACCTTTTATCTTATACAAAGGTCATTATATGTTTATAGTAAGTTATTTGAATAAAACTAAATTATACAGGCGTTTTTTTACAATTCATGTACAATAAATTAAAATAAATATTATATCTTATTATATTAATTTTGGCCCCTACTAACAAACTATCCTAGCTCTACCCCTGCATGAAGGTAAAGCTGCTAAAGGAGGCTTAACATAATTAATTTTTTTTGTTTCTCTCCTCTCTTCTCATTGTAATTTATGAAAAAATAGGAGAGAAAAAGAAGAAGTCTAAAGGCATATGGAAGTTCAAAATACAAAATCACTAATATAATAAAAAAAATCTTAATAAAACAAATTCAACATAGAAAAGAAGATCACCCATAATAAATAAAGTCACACTTGTTTTTATAGACAAGTTAGTCACTCGCCATCTTTAGACGATAAGCATTATAAACTTTGGTTTCTGTTTGGTGATCTTTTTGGATATCATGTTATTTCTATAGTATTAATATTATTGCAATCAGAGTTTTGATTTACCTCTAATATTTTTTTTTTAACCATGATGTATACAAATTATATTATTTTACAATAAAAAAACTTACACTGTATTATTTATTATTTCTTAAAAACATGCTAACAAGTAAAAATAACCAAACCGAAGTAAAAGAATGAAACTATGCTGGTTTAGTATTATAATATAATGTAATTTTTAAAAATATTTTTTTATTTAAAACTAGACGAAATAACTTTTTTAATATTGTTTTTAGCTCTACTCTACTTCCAAGCGGTGCAGTTAGTCCTCAATTTTTTTTAATAACGCATTTTGTTACTGACGTGTAATATTTTGATTGGATCAACGCGAAGAGTGAAATAAAAAAACCATCAGTTTGACATAAGAAACGAAAAAACTATAGAGGAGAAAGGACAAGGCAGCTGAACTGAGCGGAGCTGATCCTGCTGTCTTTATTTACCGATTTAAGATTTGAACATCAACCCAACCCATTTCAATATCGTCCAGGTAATATTTCGGTTCGTTTTTAATTCTCTTAAAGCTTTCAACTTTAACTGATCACTTCAGTTTTTAAGGAGTTTCAAAGGTGGGTTTTTTTTTTTCAATGTTCTTTCTGTTCCGGTTCGGTAGAGATATATACATAGATGTGATTCATTCATGGAATTAATCTATCTTCTCTTTCGTTTCAAGGGCTTTCATGCTTTGACAAAGTACCAATACAGTACTAAGTTTGACTAAAAGATCATGGTAAAGTATTCTTGGTTTTAGTACTTTGAATGAGTTCCATTGTTTTTTGAAAAAGTGATGACCATGTATTTTTGGTTCTTTAGAATTTCTTAGTTGGAGCTTTTAAACCACCATGCAATGTTTCTATTAATCTTGCTGATGGAAGAACACGCAAGCAGGTACCCTGTTAATTTGTTAACACTGCTCAAGAGTTCTGCTTTTTCTGTATTATTATCTTTGTCAAATATTTTGTTGTTCACAAAATCGAAGTAACTTTGTATCCAAATCTTTTACTTCAATGGTTATTATAACACATCGACTTCACTAATTGGGTTAATTTCTGGGTTGATATTCTAAGCCTCATTGATGGTCAGATTTCAGTTAAGCAATTGGATAACACCAGCGGGTCTTTGATCTTTGTATATTCTTTTTTATTCAATGTATTTGCATTCTTTTCTCCACCCTACCAGCTGAACTCCTAGATTCATCCTCACCCGCTGCTCTTTCAATTGAAATTAAATGCCCTTAAGCTGAATTCCAATGTGTTGACAGTTGAAAATTGCCCATGCAGTACTTTCTTTTGTGCCGTATCAACTTACAAAGAGACCTATAAAATATTTGTCTTTGTATTTACTATCTTTTATCTTTCTATTATGCACGTTTTCTTTTTCTTTTTGCTGTTACCAAGAGTTCTCTGCTTCTTTGCGTTCCTGTTTTCAATTTATTGAGTTGATTGCTTAAGAAAAAGGTTTTGTTCCTACATTTTGACCTGATCTATGTTGCTTCATCTTTCTCTCTCGCATCTCATCCTGCCTATATTAGCATTGGGATGTAATCCACTTAAATAGTACCACTATGTTATCAGGTCTGGTAGATGGAATAAAAACACGGAGTTTGGTCCAATGAACTAATGAGTTTTTCCTAGATATGTTTGCACTGAAGTGATAGATTAAATCTTATTGAGAGACCTTTTAAAAATCATTTTAGTCAAGCATATAACGACCGCTTCTATGTGTTTCTATAGGTTCCTTTAAAGAAGGAAAATGGCCAAACAGTCATGGTTCCTCTCTTCCAAAGTCAAGAAAACATTGTTGGGGAGGTAATCACTGATATTTTTATGGTTGTTTTCTTAATATTAAAAGTTACATAGAGATGTTCTTTTGGTAATGTTGTCATCAAGACTGAAATTGAACCTTATTATTTCTGTATTCGCATTCAGGTTGTCATAGAACCAGTTCAAGGGAAGAAGGTCGAACACAATGGTGTTAAAATTGAGCTGCTTGGTCAAATAGGTGTGTTGAATTTGCTTCCAGTTCTTATATTTAGATCTTGTATTTTAAATCTGGAAGATCATGTTCATGTTGTTATGGTTATCTTGTCATTTTTAAATTAAGTGGAAAATTAATATATATGAGATAAGTGAAGGATAAGCTCTAGAAGCAGGCAATGCTGGAATTCTCATTGCTGAATTATTTGGGAGTTTTGATGCTTGTGTCTAATCTAGGATTTCAAAGCATTGTCAATGCACTTCATAGTTAGAATAGAAGTGAAAAGAAAGCAGTGCTGAGAGCTTCTGCTTCTCGCATAAGTTGTCCATGCCTATAATAGATCTCTATAGTTTGCCATTGGTACTCACCATTTATGTTAAAAGAGTCTTTTGGCATTGTACTAGAAATTTTCAGGTTGAATGCTGTCTTCACCAAGGGGTGGGAGCTTCAAGGGAAAAATGGTGGCTGTCTTTTATTGTCAACTACAACGTAGTAATGTTAAAGAAAGATTATTAATTTATGTTCTGATAAGAATTTTGATTTGGACAAGAATATAAGTGGATATATAAGAAAAGACTTGGAAAGAGAAAAGGCAGACAAAAAGATAGAAATAGAAGACGTCCACTACACACTTATAATCTCTCTAAAGCAGATTAAAAAATGTCATTATTGTTGTAGTATAATTTTTTTTCCCTTGCTTGTTTTCTTTGTAATTGATAGTTCCTCTTTGGAGCAGTTATTGGGTCGATTTTCCTTTGATGTGAGTTACATGAAATTCTAGGACTACATTTCGTTGGCTTATCTCATGAAAGAATCACATTTCTGAGAATGACATATTTCTTCCCCTCTTTGCAGAATTGTATTTTGAACGAGCCAACTTTTATGACTTTACTTCTCTCGGTGAGCACATCTAAACATTTATTTCCTGTAAAATTGGTAACTTAAAGAAGGGCCATATATGGTATGACATGTTCAGTACATCAAGTCTTTTTAGTTTATATATGCATAATAGTTTCATAATTTTTTGAAGACATGGCAATCTATTACTTCATTTTCATTTTTTTTTTATATCATAACTTAAGTTTTGTGGGTGGCATTGTTAATCAATCAGTGTAATTTTTTTTTTTTATCATGATGAACTCTTATCCTGTCATGTGCAGTGCGTGAACTCGATGTACCTGGAGAGTTATATGAAAGAAAGGCATATCCCTTTGAATTTTCTACAGTGGAAATGCCATATGAGTCCTATAATGGAGTGAATGTGAGGCTTAGGTAGGGTATCCTTTTAAATTGCCCAGGCTTTATTATGTAACTGATATTAATTTTTAAGCATTTTTTTTTTTTTGGGGGGGGAGGGGGGGGTGTTCTCAACACCTCAATCCAGCCCTAATTTTTTCATCAGAAGACCAATTTTTGAATTGGCACCTGCTATATTTTTGCCTCTGATACCAATTTGATAGGCTAGGTATGTAAACCCCTTGTTTGTTCATCTGTTTCCTGTTCCTTTCATGTTTTTTCACCTTAACTGTACATGGATTCTGATTCTTGCAAAATGTTATCTCTCCCTTTCTCTCTTCCTGTTATATATTCAATGTAAGAATTCTCACAGTGTGGCATTTGCTACTAAATGATTTTCAGTAGTCATGAAAAGAGGGAACAGTTGCTGATTCTCTAGGCATTAACACACACACATTAGAAAACCATATTTTGGCTGGTTGGTTATACACATACGACATTGTTTAGCAAGATCAATCTTGCATGGTAAGCACAATTTAGTATGTTTTGACTTCGTTTAATACTAGAGCTAGAGCATTTATCTAAAGGTTTCTGTTGCAAGATTTTATTTTTGAAGGAGGGTTTTGGTTAAACTAAAGAGACTGGGTGGAGGTGCTGGGAACCAATTATAATATATTAGGAGAAATTTTGAGCTTAGGGAAGGCATAAGGCCATTTAGAGGTTTGTGCTTCCTGTGAGTTCACAGTGGTGTTCATAATTTCATTTTCTGTACTCCTAGTTTAGACTGCAAACGTTATTAGAAATTATGATGACTTTTGTTTTATGATTTTGAAATTTGAAACTAAAATCAGTGCATTTTTTATTTTTTTTTTAAAGCATGACAGCAAACTCAAGCTTTATCATTGTTTACAGGTATATATTGAAAGTGACAATCAGTCGGAACTATGTCAGCAACATTGTCGAGTACCAGGATTTTGTGGTAAATGAATAATCTTGCTATTGTAGTCATGCTTGTCATATTGACTGGTGATACAGCATACCATTCTTTTCCGATTATTTCCTTTAGTGCTATATCTTGGTTTTGTCAATAAGACACAAAAGTTTGAAAGAAATCTGTTTGCTTTTCATCTTTGGAGACCTCCCCATTATATAGGACTTTACAAGGCTGATTTACAGCAATTAGTGGGCTGATTTATTCAGCATTAATTTACCTGAATAAGGGCTGATTTACATCAATTAGGAGGCTGATTTACAAGGCTAATTTATAAAGCTGATTATTAGGAATTATCATCCCTAACTTTCTGCTGTTAACATCCTCCTCAAATTGATGCTGGTAAGTCAACCAACAATAATATGTCAACAAGAAATTGATGTCGTTATCTAGTCATTAATGTAGTTATCTAGTTATAGCTTTGATAAAGACATCAACAGCCTGAAGATCAATAGAGGTATATGAAAGGGAGATCACCCAATGGTCAAAAGCTTCTTGAATTGAGTGACAATCAACCTTGATGTGCTCAACAAGTTCATGGAAAACCGGATTAGTTGCAATTTGAGTAGTGTTAGTGTTATCAACATGTAGAGGAGTAGGATGGTTTTGTGGAAAACCAAGTTCCATAAAAAGATCACTCAACCAAACAATTCCAAAAACAAGCAGTATGGAACTTCAGTGGAAAATTTAGAAACATAATCTTGTTTCTTATATTTCCAAGAAATCAAAGCATCACTGAAGAGCATATATCAAGCTGCTGTAGGCTGGTAAGTGTCAAGACACCCTGCTCAATCTGCATCACTATAAGCCGTAAGTTGAAGGGAAGAAACAGTTGGAAAGAATAGCTTATAGGTATGAGAACTGGGCATGTAGTGGATAATGCGATGTACAACAGCTAGAAGATGCCGGGAAGAATTCATTAACTGGCTGACCGTATGAACTGCACATGATATGTTTGACTGAGTAATGGTCAAGTAGATAAAACTCCCAACAAGTTTCCAATAAAGATTCGGATCAGAGAGGAGGGCCCCTTCAGCCTTCCTATACTTGACATTCACCTTCAAAGGAGTGTCTTCTGAATTAGTTTCCTCCAAACTAGCCAAGGTGATAAGACCTTGTGCATACTTATGTTGGTTCATGAAAATCTCATTGAATAGATAATATAACTCCAAGCTCAAAAATTAAGCGAGATGACCAAGATATTTCCTATGAAAAGATTCATGCAACATCTTCTAAAGCTTAGTAATCAAAGAAATGTCAGTTCTAGTAACGATAACATGATCAACATAAACCAAGAGAAGAACCATTCCCATAGCTGTTTTATGGAAGAAGAGTGAAGTGTCATCATACTGACTTTGTTCAAAAGAGAAGTTCAGCAGTGTATCATGAAACTTCTCAAACGAGGCTTGGGGTGCCTGCTTCAACCCATAAAAAGAACATTTAAGAATCATATAGATTTCTTCTAATGTGGGGTGCCTGCTTCAACCCATAAAAAGAATATTTAAGAATCATATAGATTTCGTCTAATGTTTTTTTTTTTTTTTGGATTATCTTTTCAGTATAACATCCTTGAGAGTGTTACATAAGATCTTGTTTTTTGGTTAACTTTAATACTCCTGTTCAGGTTCACAACTACACTCCGCTTCCATCAATCAATAACAGCATTAAGGTCAGGATTAGTATTATTCCTCTTCTGCGTGTTATTATTATGTGGATACCTGCATGTCAAAGCAGGTGCTCTTTTGCAAATGTTTGATTGCTTTTTATTTGTACAGATTTCTTTTACTAATTCAATCTGGGAAAGCACATTTGTTCACATTTAAGTATTTTGAATTGTTCACATGTTGATTTGGTCAATACAACTTTATCTCTTTTTCTGCAGCACATCCTATCCACCACCTTGATTGGCCTTAAGCAGCATGAATCATAGCCATAAGTCATGCATATATATATATGTATGTATGTATGTATGTATGTATGTATGTATGTATGTATGTATGTATGTATGTATGTATGTATGTATGTATGTATGTATGTATGTATTTTTTTTCTAATTGTTGCTAGAGGACAGCCTCTGTCTCATTACATGTTGGACTAGAAAACTACTTGGATGCTTGACATATTGAGTTGAGAAGTTTGTGAAGGCGAGTCATGACATAAATGAACTCTTCTTATGAAACTTCAATGAACTATTCTTATAAAACTTGGTGGTTGACTGTGAATTAGCTTTCAAATTCATTCAAAAAATTGATCCTGCTCCGCTTGTGCTGTTTTTGTGGTGCTTGTAGATGGAAGTTGGAATTGAGGACTGTCTTCATATTGAATTTGAATACAGCAAAAGCAAGTAAGTCTAAATGAGGGTTATTTTGAATAAAATTTCACATGATGATATAAGTTGGAAGGGGAAGGGAGCTTTATGCTTTTTTATTGAGTTCAAATGAATCAGGTACCACCTGAAGGATGTCATCATTGGCAAAATATATTTTCTTATGGTGAGAATTAAGATTAAGAATATGGAGCTTGAGATCAGGCGCCGTGAGTCAACGGGATCAGGGCCTAGTACATATGTTGAGACAGAGACCCTATCAAAATTTGAGTTGATGGACGGTGCTCCTGTCAGAGGTACATAGTTTCAAGTTGTTTTTAGCTTTTATCACCAGTAATATGCATGATTGCACTTAACAAATCACTCAGATTTTCTGAGTGGCATCTAACTTTTCAACTCTCTTAGTGATCATTAAATTTATGTCCGTCCTCCTTGAATTTTAACTTGATCTTGATATGTTTAACTTTTTCCTCGCATTTATTTATCTGTGATAAGGCACTGGTGTTGGAAGATTTTAAAAATGTTCTGGCTGTATAATAGGCCCATTGTAGATACCTTTGATGGTTTACTTGTTTATATAAGGCTGTGATAGACTCCTTTATCACACCGCAAACTTTCCATCAGAATGGAAGATATTGAAAAGCAGGAACTAGACAGAGAAAATTATAGTATAACAGTAAGCAAAATTAGAGGATTTGCACCTCTTAATTTGAAGTTTAGCTAAACTGTTAAGTATGGTTACCAATGTATAATTTTTCAGAGCTGTATGCGTGAAATCCACGTGATGATGTATTCGCCAGTAATTGATGAGAAAATGTGAAAACCTGATGCTTTGTTGCACTTATTCATCTTTGTATGCGTGCTGCATGCTGGCCTCTACTCATATTTTGAAGGATTATCACGTTGATGCAATTACTGATGCCCTTAACAGGTGAATCAATTCCAATTAGATTGTTCCTGAGTCCGTATGAGTTGACACCTACATATCGCAACATCAACAACAAATTCAGTGTGAAGTACTACTTGAATCTTGTTCTTGTTGATGAAGAAGATAGACGGTATTTTAAGCAGCAAGAAATCACAGTTTATCGGCTTCTTCCAACTCCTTGATTGATTGTCCATCTCAGAGGAGCTCGATAATTTTAACGTGACAAAAAAGGAAGGAGCGTTATGCTAGTAACACCAATTGGGTAGTTTGCTTCTTTAAAGGACCAAGGATTGGGATTTGTCATGGAGAGATTTCCCTATTTTTCGTGTTGATGGTGCCGTTCTTGATTTTAGTCAGTGAAACTCCTTTCTGATGGCAGAAACCTTTCCATGTTTGGGATACTTCGGACTAAACTGGTTCTATTGTTCTACTTTGGTGGTTGCATTTTAAGGCTGTTCTTTTCGTTGCATTGCAACCTGTACTTTATTCTGTAAATTTGAGGGGTTTTTTTCTTTTCTTTTCCCATCTCCCTTAGAATGTGTTACGAAAATCTTCTTTCTAGGTGTAACTTGCTTAGTTTTTTTCTTTAAATCGAGGTTATCTTTGGATATTGCAGGTTTTATATATTTATATGGGATCTTCAAACCATTTTATACGGGAAAGTTGTAATAATTCTTTCATGCACTTGGGCTTGGGGCATATTTGGGCCACCATTTTATCTCAGCTCAGAATTCTAACAGCACGAGTAACCAGGCACCGACCTGGTATCCCATGAAATCCTAAAAATCAACGGACTTCCCTCTAATCCTTACAAACCACTGAAACGCGATTTTTTATTTAAGAAAATTTCTCAATCAGAATGCAACCATGACTCTCTGTTCGGATTTGTCTCTCGAAACCAAAGGGCAAAGAAGAGCAGCTTCTGTGTTTGGCAAACTAAATTTCTGTATACCTAAAAAGAGCTTCCATCAAAGCAAACAGACCATTGGGATGGCGAATGGTGTTAGTGGCGAGTCCGAAGAGAGCATTGCAGTCTATTCTGGAATTTACGCAAGAAAACTCATGCCCTATTGTATTGGGATGGCAAATGGTGTTGGTGGCGAGTCAGAAGAGAGCAGTGCAATCGATTCTGGAATTTACGCAATAAAACTAATGCCCTCTTGTGTTGCAAATCGAATGACTGATGTTAAATATGAAGCAGCAAGGGATTGCAATGAAGAAGGAACTTCTGAATTTGACAACCTAAAACTGGTGTCTGGTTGCTTCTATCTACCAAAGAAGAGCGAGAGCAGGCCACTCGGACAAGACGCTCACTTCCACTTTCAAACTAAACAGACAATCGGCGTGGCAGATGGTGTTACTGGCAGGTCAGAAAGGAGCGTTGCAATTGATTCTGGGATTTACGCAAGAGAACTCATGAGCAATTGTGTTGCCAAACTGGGTCGCAAACCCAATGGCGCCGCTGTTAATCCGAAACGAGTGTTGAGAACAGCTCATTACAAGACTGCATCAAAAGGGTCTTCCACTGCCTGCGTTGTGTCCCTCAACGGAACCCGTTTGTGCTATGCCAACGTTGGCGATAGCGGGTTTCTTGTTTTCAGGTCTAACCGCTGTGTGTATACTTCAACAATAAAGCAACGTCGCTTTAACCATCCTTATCAGTTAAACAACAGTGGTAGAAGAATTATGGAATTCGATGACATAGTTGATGAGGGTGAATTTGAGGTTGAGGCTGGCGATGTTGTGGTGCTTGGAACTGATGGATTGCTTGATAATCTGTTTGCTCATGAGATTGAAGACATTCTTGAGAAACAGATTTCTTGCGAAACGCCCCATATGCATCCTCATCAGATCGCTGTCGCCATTGGAGTTGCTGCCGAGGCTAATTCACGCAACGAATTATACAAGTCACCATTTTCCATGGCTGCTGGATTGGCTGGATTTGAGTGTGTCGGTGGTAAATATGATGATATTACTGTCATCGTTGCACGGATTGAATCATCTAATTAGCATGCTAGCTAGCTACTCGATAGAGATATAATTATTTCTTTTATTCTTGTAAGGTTCCCGTAATATCACTTGTTTTTGGCGGATTAATTAAATTTTAATTCGTTGAAAAATCAATGATCAGCTCTTTGGCTGATGTGTTTTGTGATTTTTCTTCTTATTTCTTGCATGGTCATTTTTCATGGAAGTTTTGTTCTTTTCATGCTTCATCCTCCTTGCTTCTGATGGTTCTACCATCAAATAGTTATTTTGAGACTATTTCACCATTAAAACACTACAACATTAACAATAATAAATTAAGGTTGAAATATTAATAAAAAGAATTATATGAAGAGAGTTTCAAAAACTAAGCTTTTTTTAGAAATATACATTTTTTTTTTCTTGCTATTCTTTTTTATAATGTTTTTCTAGTTTTTTTTTATATTTGAAGAGAATATTTTTTGTAGTTTATTTTTTCTTATTTAGTATTATTAAGATTTTCTAGTTTTTTTATATAAAGAATTATAATAGCCTTAGCCTTCTGGTAAATAGAAACATAGAAGAATATGAATTAAATACTTTGATTGTCTCTCTATACTTACAGTGTTTTTGGTTTTAAAAGGTTTTGGCTTGTAACAAACTCCTTATTCTTCACTCTTGTTTATGTCAATTGATATTAAAGCTCAATTATTCTTGATGTTTAATTTATTTTGTTATGTGTTGTAAAACAATCATTGCTAAAAGAGATTGCAAAACAAGATGTGTTTATATAGGAGGGAATGAAGAGGTTTCTTATCAGAAAAAAGATATATAAGAATTAGTGTGCTATTTTTTTTTTTGTCGATTACTATCATTCAAAATTTTCATAGCAGGATCCACGATGAGGCAACTCAGATGTTGTGTTAAGGATCCACGATGAGATAACACAAAAAAAAATTATTGTGTTAATAATTAATGATGGGGTGACCTGCACGAAAGTATTAAGAACTCATGATGGGATAGCCCACCCATAAAAGGATGTTCTTAATGAAGGATAATTTTCAATTAAAAATTAAACTCAAGGATGAGTTGCTTTCAAACCAAGAAGACTGACGTAGAGCTTTTTTTAATAAAATGGATATTTTCGTATTGTTTTTTACGATGTTTTTCTAGTTTTTTATTTTTATTTTAAAGAAATATTTTTTCTAGTTTATTTTTTAACATTTTGACAAGTTAAGACATTATCATTTGCTCTAGTCTGATTCAAAAATCCTAGTTGTAGTTAATTCTAATAGTAAGAGGAAAAAACTATAAATTTTATTCTTAATAATCAAAATTAAATATTACAGCTTTCTTGGGATTCTTAAATAATGCAAAAACAATATTCTAAACTTAATAGTAAAAGTAATATAAGAGTTATAAAATAAAATATGATTAAAACATAACTTTTAGATTTAGTTTGTGGGCCTTAATGAGTTTAAATATCTATGAGAATTTATCCCTATAAAAAGCAGGGTTTCTAGAATTTTCTAGTAAAATATTAACTTGATTAAATAATCAAATTGAAAGTTATGTTTGTTACCATAAATTGTACATATGCTCAAAATCTCTTACATCAATCTTTTTTCTATAAAAAAAACTTATTCTTCATTTCAAATTTTTCGTACCTCAATCACTTAAATATCCAATAAAGCTTGAGCTTGCAACTAATCATATTTGAAAACAAAAAAAAAGAGGGTAAAGCCTCTAACCTAGCTATTTTATTTTCTCATCCATCATCAAAAGTTGCTGCTACATTTGCATAAGTGGTTATTCAGTTTACTAGCCAATACTTACTCATCAACCATATGAAAGTTGTTTCTCTTTAACTATTGGTACAGAGAAGTTGGGCTTTTAGAATCTTCTAATAAAATCTTAGCTTGGTTTAATAGTCAAATTGAAAATTATGTATATTATAATAAAGTTATTATTTTGACCAAAATATCATGCCTTATTATCTTTATCAGTTATATAACAATGCTAGCATAATCAAAGAATTTGATAACATAACTTATGAGAGTAGATTTGATGTCAAGGTTGATAATATTATAATGCTTGGAAATGATGAGTTTTTGATAATCTATTTGCTCATAAGATTGAGGACATTATTGCAAAATAGATTTTTTTATAAAACATCCCAATAAATATCATTAACAAATTGATGTCACCATTAAAGTTGTTGTGAGGGCTAATTCATCACGAAACAAATTATACAGATCTTTTTTTTTTTTTTTGTGTGTTGAGTTAGTTGTAATTGAGAGGGTTGATGGTAAATATGATGATATTATTATCATCATTGTGTGAATTAAGTTAACTATTTAACAAGCTAGCTACGAGAGTGAGAGAGAAAGAGAGAGAGTGAGAGAGAATTCATCCTTGTAATTAGAATCTTGTAATATCAATAGTTTTTTAATATATAGTTAAATTCAATTGTCTTAATTTTAATTCACTGATAATCTTAATGTTTGAAATGTAGTTCATGACAACTTACCAATCTTATATTCCAGCGATGATTATTATAGAGATTTGGGATATAATGTTAATTATAAGTAGGATGAGGTTGGTCCATGCTTTTCTCCTTTTCTTTTAATTTTAAACATGGTGTGTATATATGTGTGTGTTGTCTTCTTTAGTGTTGCTCAAGGATTTATAAAGTTTCATTTTTATTTATGTGTTAAGATGAGGAGTATAGAGGGCAAAGTGTAATTTTTTAAGTTAAGGTATGTGCATTGCTTTGTCCTTTTTACATAGAATGATGAAAATAAAAAAGGTTCATTAAGTGTAGAATTCATATATTATTGGTGGAAGAAAATGCATATATTTTTAACAAAAATCTTTCCATATTTAATACTTCATAAATCATAATTATTTCGTTACTATTATAAATTATATTATCTAACAGGTGTATGTCCTCGAGTTATAAGAGTCAGCTTCAATAATATGATTATTGAATTATATGTGATTATAATTAGAATGTTGAATATTAAGTTAATTATACAATGTTGAACTATATATTTATATACATGACTTAAATATTAGTCTTTCGAGTAAAACATTTATTGTGTTGAATTTTCTCGTTATTCATGTTCTTTAATAGTACGAGTGACATTAAAGTATGTTGGAGCTAGATTTTGCTCCATCAACTTGAAATATTTAAATCGATTTCTCATTTTCACCTTCATTCTAGTCAAATAAACTCAAATGAAGGATTTTCTCAACCTGACATTACTTGATCTAAGTTGTATTTCTTTTAAAATCAATTTTATAAAAATAAAATATAAGCTTAAGAAAAAATTACATTTCATTTATGAATCATGAGACCATAAAATATAATCTAAACATTAAATCCTCCATGAATCACAAGATAAAAATTCTATACATTAAATTAAAAGATAAAATCTAAACTTCATATAAAAAAAAAAGTTAAGAAATTAGGCCAAGGCAATTGAGGTTCAAACTAAATTGGATTTTACTCATCTTGGATTTGACCTAATTAAATCGAATAACAATCCAAATTAACCAGGTTAAATGATATGGGGAACTTAATGGATTTAGTGAAATTTGCATTCTTATTCAAAAGTTTAGTTAATTTTTTCTTTTCATATACACATAAATAAAAAAAAAACAAATATAAAAGCTTTTACATCTCTAAAATCTAGGATAATTATTATAA